AAAATGGAATGTCATTAATTGCAGGAGTTACGAAACAACTTCTCAATTGATCGAGTGGATCTCAACAGAATACGGTTTGATGGTTGCACATTCGATCACTGATTTATCTTTACTTCACCAGGATATCATTTCATGGATTGCCAGACAGTGAAAAAAGTGGTTACTGATCGTAACAGTTGGAAGAGTCGTATCAGATAACAAGAATTATCGCATAATGAATATCCAACAATATCCAACCTGTCACAAAATGTTCCACCCCAGTTCTTCTCACAAATGCACTGATTTGCATCAGCACAGTAACCATGTTTACAGCCCTCCAATACCTGACACTGACTACATGTAACACCTTGCCATCCTCTTCGACAACTGAAATGATAAAATGATGTTGAGTGTGGATATCCCTTGGCATATGAACAAGGACATGGATTCGAGGAAAGAATATTTGAATTATTTAGTTTGTGGGTAGTTGTGCAGAAAATGCCATTCAGAGTAGCAGAAGTGCAAGCATTCCACAGTCGCTTAGCAAACGCAATAGATCATCATGATATGTGAGGTCACTGTAACGGTCATTAGACTGACCGGCAGATTCATTAAACATATCAGTATACCATACATAGCTTGAATAATTTCATCCGTTGAAAATTCAAGGTTGCTAGCAAACTCGTTGAAGTTCAAAAACAGAGGCGCAATTACATAATGAATATGAAATCTTTAGAGAGATCATTAGCAGCACCAGGTGCGAGTGATTTTTTATCCTGATGGGTCTTTTTTTCGATACAAGTAAAGCACCGCAGCCAGAAGAGGAAGGGAATCATGCACCCACTCAAATATATAGCTATATTTGCTTGTGAAGGAAATTGACCGATGGCATACGGTAACGTTGTAAAATTGACTTATTATGATGGAATTGCGTAGAGAAATCTTGGCTATACTCGCGTGCATGAGCAGCAGAAATTCCGTGGTAAGCACGACTGTAAGCCTTTACTACCATGCTTTCCAGCAATATTTTGACTACACTTTACTCTGTGCTGCTGATCGGCTGAATGAGTGAAAATTGCGAGATAAAATTTTCGATTCTTACCGACACACACCAGGAGCTATACATGTCCCATTGCCACAACCATTCGGGCACACAGGATCATCGCAATTTGGACCCGACCAGCCATTCTCACATAGTCGTTCGCCTTCCGACGAACAGTAGAAATGGAAACTGCAAGAAACCATCGGTGTTTCCATGATGGGTCTTTGACCACATATGATCAAGTATACATAAAACAGAAAATGCAGGTTGGTCTAATTANTTCGCCTTCCGACGAACAGTAGAAATGGAAACTGAAAAAAAACCATTGGTTTCCATGATGGGTCTGTGAAGACATATGATCAAGTATACATAAAACAGAAAATGCAGGTTGGTCTAATTATCGAAATCAAATTTAAGATAATCGCATGATTATCCCAATTCAGTGTTCAGTTTCGGCGAAACGGTTGTGAAGCATAATCGACCACTTACTTTGCATCATTTGCTTGACAAAACTTGGCACATCCAGGACCATAGTAGAACTTATCGCACTCAATCCAAGCTTTATAAACAATCCTTGTATCCGATGTTCTCTGTAAATTTAATGCACCTCTGAAGTTCAGGCTGAAAGCATCATTCGAAAAGAATGACTATGTAACTGTTCTGTTATTCCAATAGCAACAGACTATAGCCACAGCTTCCCCAAGTCAATTAAGATGTCTCACCTCATCAACTTGAAGTGATTCATTAGATGCTGGGGACAGCTTTACGAAGCGTTCGGATCTTACGATTACGGTCTTGTTGACACGATGACGTACTTCCACTGTTATCGACACATTCTGTAACATGTATCTATGATAGATGTAGCATACGCCAATGAATCAGTGACATTTGGTTCAGTTCATGCAGGAGAGTATGTATAACCATGACGATAAGATTCACTCGACTACTTTTGCACCCCAAAAGAAGATAACATTCATCTTAAATGAGAATTTGATCCTAACTTACTCTGATCCTAAGAATAATTAAT